CTCAAAATCGATGTTACCAATATTTATACGATTTTTTTGTGGGGTTTATGAAATGATACAGGCCCTGGTGGAACTAGAATGCCAAAGATGGGCAAGCAAAGGCATAAACATAAAATACGAGATAAGGGACAACAGGAATGGATACAAAGCAGGTGCTCTGAAAGAAGGAATGAAACATAGCTATGTCAAGCAATGTGACTATGTGGTCATTTTCGATGCTGATTTCCAGCCTGAGCCAGACTTCCTGTGGCGCACCATCCCATTTCTTGTCAACAACCCCGAAATTGCACTTGTTCAAGCACGTTGGAAATTTGGTAACCTTCATTAACCCCATTTATTAGACTTGATTAAGCTACTTTTCCTGTCATTATTGCTTGAAACATTTTTTGTGTCGGCAGTCCGCCCTCTCTGGCACTTTTCTTCTGTTTCTTGGACACGAGATGCATGTCTTATTGCCCTTTTTTTTTTTTTTTTCTTTAAATAAGGTTTAATGATATCAATCGACAGAAACAGAATGTTGCCAGGTGTGGAGAGGTTGGTGTGGTGAACTATTGTAATTTAACCAAAGTTCTAAAAAAAATGTCAAACATGGCAATAAATATTTCTACATGATCAATATTCAATTAGGATGTAAAAGTTTGTTTATTTCTGATGGATTAAATTTATAATTTAACTAGCATACCAGGTATACTTTTTCTTTTTATTGCAGTATATCGTCGGTCCCCCGCCCAAATGGCCAACCCTGACGTAAAGTGACGATTTGTTTGATTTGTCATTGGAAGAAAAGCCAAGATTGATCTTAAGACTCTAAACAACCCATCTCACTCTGAATAAAATTAAAAATTCACACGCATTATAAAAATAAGACATGATGCTGATACATTACCATGGATTAGTTTGCTAGATATTGGACAGGTCTGTCATTTTCACATTATTACAGTCAATCAGATTTATTAGAATAACTTTAGTTTAAATAATAATTTCTGGATTTTTTTTGTCCTAAACCTTTAGTTGAAGAAATTAACTGCGAAAATGACATACTCTTTTTGATTTTTAATCAATGACTAATTCCTAGACTAATTCCTAGAAAGCGCTTCTTTTTTTTTTTTTTTTAAAAAGGGAGCTTGGAGAAGTGATTCTTAATTAGAAGTTAATAACATATAAATATCAATCGATAAATTGATTATTGTTTGATAATTTGGTGCATTAATCATCATCACTTTTGGCTTGTGTCGCAGTCAACTCAGATGAATGCTTAATGACAAGGATGCAAGAGATGTCGTTGGATTACCATTTCAAAGTGGAGCAAGAAGTGGGGTCTTCAACCTATGCTTTCTTTGGTTTCAATTGTAAACAACCTGTACAAGGGCATCGACAGTTTTAGCCCCCCAAATAAAGTATATTTTCTATGTACTATCAGACATGGTTATAAGAAGCTAGATCATATGACCCAGGGACGGCTGGTGTCTGGAGGATGGAAAGACAGAACAACTGTGGAGGACATGGATTTGGCTGTCCGAGCTAGTCTTAAAGGCTGGAAATTTTTTTATGTCGGTAACCTCAAGGTATTAACATGCAGCATGGTAGTCAAGTGTTTTCCCGATTTCATATTTACCGAGTAGATTCTGTTTGACCTTCCAATTCCTGACTTATTTTAGGTGAAAAATGAATTGCCAAGTACTTTCAAAGCCTACCGAAATCAGCAGCACAGATAGTCCTGTGGCCCTGCTAACCTCTTCAGGAAAATGGCAGTGGAGATCATAAGAAATAAGGTATGATCCCAAAAAATGAATGAATGCGGAATATCAAACCAATTAGCTAGTTATTTGTACATAGTAATCTAATACTTATTAGCCTGCTGATTATTGCAGAAAGTTTCTGTGTGGAAAAAGTTTTATGTGATCTACAGTTTCTTCATTGTCCGAAAAATTGTAGCTCACATTGTCACATTTGTTTTCTACTGTGTTGTTTTACCGGTAACTGTTTTTGTTCCTGAAGTTGAAGTTCCCAAGTGGGGGGCTGTCTATATTCCTTCAATCATCACTCTTCTCAATGCTGTTGGAACTCCAAGGTTGATTTCTAGTCTGAACTTGGTTTCCTTCTGTTTCCAGCACCCTAAGTCAAGGTTCCTTCTTGCTTCAATCTTGCAGGTCATTGCATCTACTCATATTCTGGATTCTTTTTGAGAATGTCATGTCTCTACATCGGACCAAGGCTACATTTATTGGTCTGCTGGAAGCAGGAAGGGTGAATGAATGGGCTGTTACAGAGAAATTTGGAGACGTTCTCAAGACAAATTCAGGTGGAAAAGCTCCGAGGAAATCTCGTATCCGAATCCGAGAAAAGTAATTATTAATAGTAACTATCTTCAATGAATTTAGCATCAAATTGATGCTAAAACATTACAAGCCTAATACATTGCCTAAATGCAGAACACATTTTTGAACATTTTCTGTTTTCTGGATGCATATGAACAGACTCCATTTGCTAGAGCTTGTTGTTGGGGCATACCTCTTCTCTTGTGGCTGCTATGATCTGGCTTTAGGAAAGAATCGCTATTTCATATTCCTATTCCTGCAATCTATCGCCTTCTTTGTCGCCAGTGTTGGTTATGTTGGAACCTTTATTCCAACCGCTTAGCAAAATCATCAAACATGAATCATCTCTGAAGTCCATATTTCTCCTTCTGCCTTATCCAAATATATGACAGTTCAATGTATTTGATTGGCTTTTTTTTTACATTCAAATTGCTTCAGTTTTAGATTATTATAGAGGCTGGCCATTCTTTTATGCTGAGGCATAAGTGGATTTGAGCAATCGAGTTGAATTACTATATTTTCTCTTGTACAAATACGTTCAAGAAAAATGACAGGAAACATATTGTTCAATATTTCTGCTGATTTCTTGCTTAATAATCAATAAACAAAAGAAATTACAGCTTATGAAGTTGACGCAAAAAATATGCTAAAATAACAAAAAAGCCTATTGAACTTCAGCTTTTTTGGATAAAATTTTATATTTTTATTGCACCAAAACAAATTTTTAATCTTTAAGTTAAACCAAAATAAGCTTTTGATCTTTAATTTGTAAATGTACCAAAATAAATATTTAACCATTAATTTGTGTCAAAATGAATTCTTAACATAAATTAATTTTGTATTTGAAATAAAAACTTTTTTTTAATGATAAAATATTTATTAAAAAAAAAGCAAAAATTATAACCAAGCTACAAAATCGTTGCTTTTATGAGCGCCCAGCAAATATTTTTGCAGAAATGTTGAATTTGTGTAAAAAATTATAAAAAAACCCTGAATTAATTTATTTTTTTAATTAAGTTCTTGTACTTTTGAATACACACATTTTTGCAAAAATATTGAACTTGGATAAAATATTAAAAAACATCTGAATTTAAAATAAAATTTTATTTGAATACAAATAAAAAAATTATTTAGATATAATAAACATACATAAACTTATTTAAAAAAAAAAAACAAAAATAATTCGGGGGATTTTTTTTTAATATTTTATCCAAGTTCAATATTTTTGATAAAAATGTATCTATCCAAGACATGGAAAATGCTTCATAATGCATAAAGAAGTGTTGATTGTGGGATAATAAAAGTATAAAAGTAATAAAAAACTTTAGAAAGCAATTGAAGTCTTAGTTTCGAATCTCCCTATTCCCTCGTGGAGTATAATTTTCATACATAAAAAAAAAGTATAAGGACTTAATTAAGAAGAAATAAAATAATTCATAGATTTTTTAATATTTTATCTAAGTTCAACATTTTTGAAAAAATGTGTGTATTCAAAAATATAAGAACTTGTTTTCAATATATATATATAAGAATTTAATTAAGAAAAATAAATTAATTAAGGGGTTTTTTTTTAATATTTTACGCAAGTTCAACAATTCTGCAAAAATGTGTATTCAATACAGAAAATGATCTAAAAGGCTGGCCACGGCTTCGAACCTGAACGCACTTCGGTTCAGAAGATTTTAAATCTTTCTCCGACGTCTTGAGCAAACCAGTTTAAATGGTCAATGTCTACGCATTTTTTAAGTAATGTCAAATGGGTAGCAAACTTTGTCTATTTGATCATCAATTTAATATATCAATATGAACTATTGTTCCTTTCTACATAATAAATCTTAATTATCTTAAATGGAAAAATAAAAAGAGAAAAGATCTAGTAATTGTATGAAGAGTCAAATTGGAATCTCCTCCTCAATAATCTTATCTTATGAAAGAAAAGTATATTAAAATATGTATAATTACCCTCTAATATAACATAGAGAAGTCCAAATCCTAACCCACTCTCTTGGAGCTAATTTGGATGGACGATTGGCGTGGTTGAGGTGCAATTTCCCCCAAATTTTTGTCCAAAATTTATTGTTATGATGCGTGGATGATATTGGTGAAGCACGGTAGCCTCCAATTATTAACTATAATCTTTCTCTTCCCACCACACCCCTCATTCCAATTTTGCCCATGATTTTGTTGCCCTTAAGGTTGATTTTCCACGTCATTTAACCTTTTTTTTTTTTGTTTTTTAAATTAATAAAATATAAAATAAAAATATAAAATATAGGGCTATACAGACTCGAACAGTAGTAGATCTTTTTCATAAAACAGATTGACTGATTATTATCAAAATGATTTGACCTATTTCAAAGACCTAATATGCATTTTTTGTTATTTTTATTTAATTAAGATAACTCTATTGATTTAATATAATAAATAAATTTATTTTATTTTATTATTTTGGTGCAATAATATGTATTAATATTTGAAATCTTAAAATTTTAATCAATCAAAATAATAAAATTTTCTATTAAAATATTAACACATATTATTTGTTAATTAGTTTACTATATAATAATAAATTTTATTTATTTATTTATTATATAATAATAAAATTATTTATTATATTAAATCACCAAAGTTATTTTTATATGTAAAACAAAGTCGTGGATATTTTTATCCAACACAGTTGAAATGATTTTGGTCAGTATCATCAACAACTTCGATAACAAGAAAATCCTCCTTGAATCACGCCAGCTACTCTCTGATGGAACTATGCAGCCTTGCTGCACTCCTCTTTCCAGAAGGATAAAAACACGGGAGTCAGCAGAAGATGCAGCTCACCGTGCGATCAAAGAAGAACTTGGGTTTCTCTTGAAGCTAGAAGATAAGAAAGAAATGGTTCGAATCGTGCCTGAAACATACAAGAAAAAGGAACACCAGATGATATCCTGGTCATACCCTGGACTGATGTCAAGGTACATGATACACACCGTGAATGCACACGTCATGGGGTTGCCTGACGGGAATTTCAGCACAGAGGCTGAGGAGTTTGGGGATTGTAGTGATGAGCTCAAAGCGGTTGTGGAGAAAGCGTTGCGTGTTAAAAGGCGTTATTGGATTTGGAGGCGGGTTGAAGAGGGCACTTCAGCAGCTTTTTGAGGGGAATTTGGGACTCAGAATTTGTTGTCATCGCAAATGAGCGACTACTTAAGCAATTTTGAGTTTGTATGTCATTTGGATTAGTGCTCTGAGCTATAATTATTCGGTTCCAAATTCCGACCTTCTTTAAGAGGAGATGCAAGAAACAATTCAAATCCAACATCACTTACTATCAAGTCGGATGGAATATTAATGAGACTTTTTTCTTGGAATAAATTTTTTTTCCCAAATGTCGTTAATTGCATTTTTTTGCCAAAAAAGAAAAGAATTTGTATTTCAGAAGTTTCAATTATGTACGTGGCATGAATTTGAATTTAATTTAACTAACTTTAATTATTTTTAAGAGAAAGTATTCAATAATTCACTTTGCATGTAAACATAAACAAACTATCATGAATTAAAGGACCAACAAGTGAGGGTAGAGCTCGCATTAATTATACCAAGCTGAATTACTAAAAACCAATTAGTAATTAAAGATGGTAATGTATTCCCTATAAATGAGTACATGCACAATTCGACTGGAGTAATTAGGATTGAGGTATTTTATAACTTGGTTTGGGTAGGATTCATCAATAAAATTACTATTCATCATACGATTCAAGTGGTGCTTTTAAGGTATACCTATAATCCGAACCTAATTATAAATAATATTTTTAATATTTTTATTTATAAATGAGTTATTATTATTGTAATAATTAACTAAATTAATTCATTAAGTATTTTTAATTACAATTTTTAACTTTAACTTATGTTTTATGAGTTAACTTTTTATTTATTAATTTAATTTTTATAATAATATACATGAACGTCAATTTTAAATTTGAGTTTGAATGTCAAATTTTGACTTAATAAACATTTATTTAATAGGTTTAGATGGTTAATGGGTATTCTTTATATTATATGGGTTGGGTTTTGATAGCATACATAAAAATATTTAAGTATTTATTTAGTTCAAATATCTTGATAAATATATAAATTCAAAAATAAAAACTTAAGATTAACAGATATCCTATCCGTTGACATTTTAATTAGTATTAACCAAAGATCTAAAAGGTTCTTATTATGTTTATATGTGTAAAGTACTCAAATATATTCAAAGTGGAATCCATTATCATCTTTTTAACATTTCCTATCATGTAAAGGATGCTTCTGATGTAGCGTTTGACTTAATAAACGTGTATTTAACAGGTTTCCAATAATTAATGGGTATTCTTTGTGTTATACGGGTTGGGTTTCGATAACAAAAATAAAAATGTTTAAGTATTTATTGATTCAAATATCTTGATAAATATACAAATTCGAAAATGAGAACTCAAAATTAACAGATATCCCACCAGTTAACATTCTAATTAGTAATAACCCAAGACTTAAAAGGATCTTATGATGTTTATATGTGTAAAGTACTCAAATTTATTCAAAGTGGAATCTATTATCATCCTTTTAACATTGCCTATCATGTAGAGGATGCTTCTAATGTAGCGTTTAACTAAATAAAGGTTCAGATTGTTAATTAGTATTCTTTGTATTATATGGGTTGGGTTTCGATAGAAAAATAAAAATATTTAAGTATTTATTGAGTTCAAATATCTTGACAAATACATAGATTCGAAAATGAGAACTCAAAATTAATGGATATCCTACCCGTTGACATTCTAATTAGTAATAACCGAAGATCTAAAAGGTTTTTATTATGTTTATATGTGTAAAGTACTCAAATTTATTTAAAGTGGAATCTAGTATCATCTTTTTAACATATCCTATCATGTAAAGGATGCTTCTAATATATCGTTTGGCATCATTTTTAAGATTACTACAATAATTTAATCATTGAGATGATTTTATTATTAAAGTGATTTTATGATTCGTGATTTAAAATCACTTTGTTTGATTAACGATCATTAATTCTTAGTAATTAAAAATTTTTATGTTTGGTATTACTCAAAATAAAACATTATTTATTTTAAAATACCAAAATAATCAAGCATATTATAATAGTTATCAGTCATTTGACTTTGGTGATAACAAGTTTCTTACTTTTTTGAACGAGAATTAAATCATCTTTTACGACAGTAATTTGATCACTTTCTATGATTTAAGATCTCCACAATATAGGATTATTAATTGCTTATTAAACACAGTAATCTAATCCTTGTACATAAATCATCATAATTTTTTGAATGATTATCCCATATTAAACACTACTTAAATGGGTATATTTGAAAGGTTATTGTTACAATTATGTGTCTATTTCTTTTCTAAAACGAAAAATAAAAAATAAAAAATGGTAAACTGAGTGGATGCTCCTATCTAGAGGTGTGGTGTCGGTTTTAAAAGCACGATATCAACACCTTTTATGCTTACTCAAGCCTAGCTTGCCTCAACAACTTGGGCTTCAGTTTTCGTCCAAATTCACCTAAATTATTTAAAGATAGAATCTAGACCCGTCTAAATAAATTTTTTTTATTTACAAAAAAAATAAAAACATGATTTTTATTTAAATTTTAATATTTTTCTTTAATTAAATTTAAAAATATAAATAATTTAATATATTCTCTCATGTTTACACTATGATATACATTTATTCTTTATATATAAATATAAATTATATAAAATATATGTAAATATAAAAAATAATTTATCTATTATATAATCCAGATTAGACTCGAACCTCAAATGTTAGAATTAATGCTAGATCCATTTTTTAAAGAGACCTTATTTTTTGTCCAAACTCATTTTAACAATTTTAATATTTTTACTCAAATCCCTTAAATATTATAAACACCTCATTTTGTCCAAAAAATTTTCAATATTAAAATGGGTTTAAATTTTATGTGTGCCTTAATTACAAAACTGAATTTCAAGTCCAAAATTTAAAAGCCCAAAATTGTGTTTGTATAAGTTTAATTTTTTTTTTTTTTTTGTTATTTGTATGCTTAGTCAAAAGAGTCAATTGGTCAAAAAGTCATAGTAAAAAAAGAATAAAAAGGATCAAAAGACAAAGAAGAAAAACATGGTAATTTTTGCAAAAGGAAATCTGTAGATTCCTTGGATCCGACAGTCAGTTAGAATCTAATGGTTCATTGCCTAAGGAAATTCTTGGTCTCCAATTTATAGAAAAAAGGAAAATTACATAGGAAAGAATCTTGAAATCTTTAGTAGATTTGATGGGGATTAATGCTTTTCCAAGTTGAATTACGCCTTAATCCCTATAAAAAGACCATTGATATGTGATCACAAGACACAAGCAATAAGTAATAAATAAGCAAACAACAATCAAAGCATGAAAAAATTTCTAAGTTTGATTTTAGGTTTTGAGAATTGATTTTTGGTGTCTTTAAAATTGTTTTGATCTTTTGTGTTTCCAAGATTGGGAAATTTTTTAGAGATTTTAACTTGGAGGCTTTGGTTTGATTTGAAAGTTATGGTTGATTTTTGGGATCACTTTTAAATTTTTAGGTCTTGTCTTGAATTTTTGAGAACTTTTTTTGAAATTTTGGTTGAATTTTCTAGGTTTTTCCTTGAATTTTTTGGTGGTAGTTTGATTTTTTTGATGGCATTTCATGATAGTCAGAGGAAAACATGATGATCGATTTTTAGGTTTTTTGGAAAATTCTAGGGAAAATTTGAATTTTCTTGCACTGTTTGAATATTCTAATGTCAGAGTCTGGGTTTTCTAGTCAATTTCTAGAATTTATTAAGTTTTTTGATTGGTTCTTAAGGAGAAGGAAGAAAAAACCTAAAGCTAGCCAAATACATAGAAAAGGAAATTTGAGAATATAAAGTTTTTTTTTTTTTTTTTTGCTTTTATACTGAGGCTGAACAACGTCATTTTGGAAGGGGCGGATTCATGCTTTGAGCTAATAACCTGCATGTTGACCTGCGCCAAAACTTGACCTGATCATAGGCTTTAAATTTAATTTTAATTTTAATTTTTGGTTTTCTATTTTGTTTTTTTATTATTTTTAATTGAGATTGAATTATAAGTGATGAAAAAAAAGAAAAAGTTTGGTAAGTTTTTTATAGATTATTTCTTTTCATGATTTTTATTATTCTTGTTTGCATTTTTTTTATTGCATGATTTTATGATATTTAATTGCATGATTTTGTTATGATATTTTTGCATGAATATATATTTGCATGATAATTTAGCATGAATTTAATTTATTTGTATGATTTATTAAATAATATTTTGCATGGATTTTTATTACATTAATTTTCTTGCATAATATTTTTGCGTGATTTTTTTATATTTGTTGCATGATATCTTGCATAATATTTGGTATAATTTTTTATTTACATGATTTTGCATGTTTTAACTGTGATATTATTGTTGATAGTTTAGAATATAATTCATCCCACATTGGATAGAAATATTTAATTATTGATGAATAAAATTAATTTTTGTATTAATTTTATTCATATTTTAAATAATTATGTTTAAACAGAAACAATTATCATATGACAAATGGTCATAACTATTTGAATATAAATAGATTATTATTCATAAAAGTCATGATTATACAAAAGATCATAACTATTTGAAATAAAAGTTTATGTTTGATCATTCATTATAAATAGATCTTTCAATATAACAATTTTTATTACTTCTGATTAGAGGGTTCGAGACTTTATTGTATCCTAGAGGCATAATTGCCTTTAAGAAAATATTTTTTATGCCTAAAAGTCAAAATTATTTTCTATTATTTTTTTCTCTAATTTATTTTTTCTAACAATTTAAAGATAATTATGAAATTCATATTTTGTACGAGGAAGATACAAGTAAAAGAAATTGGCAGAGTTGGCAAAACCAACTTTTGAAACAAGCATGGAAAGCTTCAATGATCTAAATAGTTTCTTGATAAAATAAATACTAAATACAAGATAAGTTTCTTGTTATTTATCTTTCTAATTTTTATATTCTACTAAAAGAATTGATGATTAATAATTCATAAAAGACCCTTGTGTTTTTTGAATTTTGCTTTCTTTTATTGACTATTTTT